GGGGGGGGCCAACCTCTAGCCTCTTCCACAAAGGATTCACTTGTTCTACCCCTCAGGGTGCCTCAGAGAAGGACATCATGTATCCGGGACTGATCTACACCATGGAGCAGTCAGCCAAGGTACCTCCACGGGCTCCTGGCCTTGCCCATCCCTGCTGTCAGCCCCCTTGCCTTGCTGCAGAGGCTCTGGGCTGTATTTGAGGGGTGCCCACTCACAGCACCCCGTCACCACTCCTGGTGGGTCAGCACAAGGCCTAGGTTCATCTTCCCAGTGGTGGCTGTGTGGGGGATCTCAGCTGGACTGAGGCACCTGGACAGGACAACTTTGACCTTGAGAGGATTCCAGTCTACCCATGAGAAAACAGACAGGAGCAAGAAGAGCTGCAGCTGCAAGATAAGCAAGTCCTGAGAAAGTGTTGACTACACGCCAAGGCGTACATGTCCTTTTGGCAGAATGTGTGGTCACGTGTATGGAAATAAAACAGAATATAAGGCGCAGCCGCACGTTCAATAAATGGCTTGTGCTTGAAACCAGATTGGTTGGTAGGCAGAGTCCATCCTTGCATGACTTTATGGCTGTGTCCACACTTTGGGTAAAGCCCCATGCTCAGAGATGTCCCTTGTTGCTGTTGGGTCCCTGTCCCCCTCTCCGTCTCCCTGAACCTGTGTTCCCCATTGCCAGGGTTGCTTAGAGGAGCCACTTGGTGCCAGTACTGCTGGGTGGGGGGTCTCATGCCACCCCTCGGGGAGGTGGCTCCGTGCCGTGCTCAGCAGTGTGAGCAGTGTGCATGGAGCCCATCTGTGGGCGCAGGGTCTGTCCCCAGGGGAGTGCTGTGGGGCAGCAGTGGGCGACCATCTCCAGACCCACTCCTAGGTGGCTCCAGGTCTTACAGAACAGCCCACTTGGTTGTTTGGTGCTGGGATGACCTCTTCCCCTTGGGCGCCTGGCCTGATGCTCACATGTGTGGCGCTGCCTGCACCCTCCTCACTGGGTCCTCTGCCACCCCCCTGCCCCCAGACCCTCCCAGCACACACTGGCATCACAGCTCTCCTCTCTCTCTAGCAAGTTATGACCATGGCTGCAAGGTACAACCTGGGCCTGGACCAGAGAAGCGCTGCCCACCCGTGTGCTCTGCCGAAGGTGCTCGCTGTGTACGAGGCTTCACCTCCTGACGCAGCACCCAGCAGGGCTGCCCCGGGCATCGCTGCCAGCCTCACGACGAGGGTCACAGTCCTGCTGCGCAGGGGGTGCCCAGGACACCGTGTGCTGCAGAGGGGACACCCTGGTCTCTATAAATGATTGGTTTGAGCATGTTCTCTCCCTGCTGCCCGGCTCTCAGCTCTCCTGGGCAGGGCACTGTCTTTCCCCACACCCCCTCTGCCCCAGCCCCTTTACAGCCTCCTGGGCACTGGAGGAAGCCGTGCTGATGCTGGTTTGGGTCTTCCTGCCTAATGGTTGGCAGAACAGGACACGGGAAGGAAAAACTGCAAACTTTTAGGGGAGGGTACAGCCCCAGGAACAGCCTTCTCAGTCCATTTAGTAATGCACAGTGGGCGCTGCAAGCACTGCTGCAACTGGTGCAGACACAGGGAGCAGAGCCAGGGCAGGGATTTGCAGGCATCAGCAAACCTGTTGTGTGTCCATGCTGACTGCTGCAGCTTCACTCTTTGCCGGCAAAGCTGGTGAGCCAGCACGGGTGGGGGATCTAATCTGACATTCATGGCAGGGAGACTCTTCCCAGCCTCTCACCCCAGCCTGTGCTGCAGCCAAGGGGCTGGAGGCTGGCTGGGGACCCTGGCTGCGTTGGTGATCTTGCCCTGGGGGAGCTGAAGGCCCAAGGACTCTTCTGGGGTGGGCACAGGACCTCCTGCTGTGGTAGACATCACTCAGTGGTATGTGGCACTCACGTGCCTTTGAGGTGGTCACACTGCAGAGCCATGGGTGCCAGCCATGTTCCCAGCCCCCTGAGGGGGGACACGAGAGGAGAGGCTCCCCTTCGCTCTATGCTTCTAGCACAAGGTCAGGGTGCCTCTCTAGGAGGTACCTTACAAACAGCAGCACATCCCACTGCAGGGAGGAGTGAGGGAAGCCTGCACCCACCACCTGACTCCCCCTCTGTTAGCATGGCCAGTGTCTCCTGGGAGGGAACCAGTGCTGGAGCCCAGGACTGCGTCTAGCCTCATCCTGGCTCCAGGTCCTCAGTCCCAAAGGGCCCCCTGCGTTCAGCTGCAGATGCAAAGCACTGCAGCCAGCACACAGGCAGGTGGCATGGGGACACTGCCTGCGCCCCAGACCTCAGCCATAGCATGGCTGGAGGCCCAGGGTACGGTCACCTGGAGGCCCAGGGCACGGTGACCTCCTGCTGACACAGCAGTGAGCAGACAGGAAGGCATCTTGCCCTCAAGAGGACCCAGTCCTGCCCACTCCTCCAGCCAGAAGCGGTAGAGCTAGTCTGCCCCTGCCCCTCATTCCTCGTCCCAAAACGACCCCTGCTGCCATAGCGCAGGGCCATCCCTCTCCCCAGGGAACCCACAACCAGGACCAGGGGGCTACAGACAAGAGTTGGCTTTATTCACGGTCACGGGGGCAGCTGTGTCACTGGCAGCTGCCCTCGTATTGCACATCCAGCGACGTGGGCGGGGGGATATCCATGCCACGTCACAACACAGCGTCGGCACTACGGGACCTCGAGGGGGGGGGTGCGGGCACCATCACCACCCAGCAGGCTGGGGAGCGGGCTTGGGCGCCAAGGGTTCACAAAGGCAAAAGACCCGTCCACCCATAGATAGAGATATAAAAAAAAATACTTCCATGATGACCAGAGCAGAACCACAGGGACACGCGTGCAAGCAAAATGTACAGCAGCCCGCGAGCAGGTAAACATGCTTTGTACAGACAGACACACCGGGACGCAGCCGGGGTTTATGGCGCTGGGAGGGATACAGAGCGATAAACCCGGGCTTCACGGACACACGCACACACACACGCACGCCAGCCCCTGCGGGCAGCGCCCACGGCTTGGGCACGCCCCGGGGCTTGGGGGGCTGGGCAACGCGGGG